AGGGTCGTCTCCAGAATACATGATGTCTTTAATTACAACAGACCGTCTTACTTAGCTCACGCAGACACCAACCATATCCGACCCCGGGACTCTGGAGGCGCATGACTCGCCAGGCCGGGCCTTGCTACAGAGAATTAGAGCTGCGATTCAGCAGTGAAGCTTTGAATCAATTTTGAAGGTTGGGTAAAGTACGGTACACAAATGCGGAACATCCGATTGGCCACACGAAGGGTCGCGTTGCAGCCGCTGTCTTGGGATATATGTATTACTCGTATACTAAAGCAGATCCGGTGAATTCGTTTGCACCTGTTTGGCCCAGCGCTTCTGTCTACGTCTGTGGCTGAGTAAAACTCGATGTGGCCACTGGTCGATGCGCAGTTATGCGTCGTTATGCGTCGTTATGCGCCATTAGCCATTACCAAGGTGCACTACTCTCTGTCTTTTTTCTGTGTTTACCATTGCTACCAATTGACTGTAAGTCTGCGGAAGCGCGACACATCCCGACTGCCTTCCGAATACAGCAACTGGCTCTGCTTTGTAACACTACCGCCCTCCGACTCGCTTCCAATCAAGTCGTAGTCCCCGCCCGCTCAGCGCATGGCCACATGCTGTGTTGCAGGACGCGCATTTCCTTCCCCCCTCTGCGTCTGTACCTCCTGTCTGTTGTACGCATGACACTGTCATGCATTCTCAGTGCCTCTACCCCTGTCTTCGTTATTGTCTCCCAAAACGGTAAGGCTGCCTGTTGTCTTTGTGTCGATCAGATCTAACGGCTTATTGTTATGCGTTCGACTGTATTTCTGCCCGCTGCCTGCCCGCCGTTTTTGACGTGCTGTCCCGCAACTCCCGCGATGACCAACCTTCTTCTCTTCGGCTTTCTAGCCCTCACCAACGGCCGTCGTTCATCAAGCGCTAACCGCCAACGCGGTACTTCGACGTTCCACAACTACTACGCCACCTTGATCGAATGCTCGAATGGCAGCGACATTCCGGCTGAGCTGCGCGTGTACAGCCCTCCAAACGACACTGTCTTACCTGACAGCACTATTGCTTACGTCATCGCGCGTGCCTATTGCCCTTCTGCCGGCATGGCTTTGCTTGATGCTATCCAGCTCACACCTTTCTACGGCGATCCATCTCTCGGGGACGAATACGATGACAGTGTTCCGTCCTTCCCGCCCACCATCATCGGCATCGGAACGGTTGCGTCCACGCCTGATGTCCTTGCAGACGGCAAATCAAAGTCATTCCCTGTTGTCGCCCATGAGCGCGTGCGCGACGAAAGTAAAACGTCTACTATTCAGTAAGTGTAATTACAGCACAGTCTCTTCGCACTTTCATCAAATCTCCCACTTAGGTGCATATACGACGCTTCGCCCCGATGGGTTACCGTTCCTGCTCCTGCCCCAACTCTACCGTATCTTTCCTCGGCCGATGCTCGCGCGTGCGTTCAGATGGCGTGTTGGGTGTCGACCTTGAGCTCATTTCTTTCAACGTCGGCCCCTCTCCTGTTGCTGTCGGAGGTGGCACTCTACCCGGAGGCAGTCGATCGTCGACTGCTAACACTCCTCAAACTCCGCGCAGTCGCAGACGTCGCGGCAACGTTCACTCGGCATCGCCGCAGGCTGCTCGGGTGACCGCCAATGTATCACCATCTGCGTGCGTCACTTCTTACTTCCTCTGCCATCCTTTTCTGATCTGCATGCTGTAGTTCATCGTCGACGTCTCCCACGGCAAACCATCGTTCGACCTCTTCGCTTACTGCCGACAACTCTAGTGCAGTTGCACTTGAGTTACCTCTCCCTGTCGATCTCCGTGAAATGTCTCCTCTCACGGAAGCCCCTGCGGATGAAATCAATGGTAATGTGCCTGAAGCGGATGCAGAAGACTCTCCTTCTCAGCGGAAGGGGAAGAAACGCGCCCGCGCTGCCTGACGTTCATGTCGTACGTTGATCATTGGCTTTTGTTTGTTCTATTCGCCTGACGTCAGAATGTACAGCCAGTATGCATCAGTCTTCGTACTTATATCACCTGTGGCCGTGTTGAATGTACTGTATTGCGATATGTATTTTTATGTTCATGCATGAGCGCGTTCGACCTTGCTATTCCCTGCTGGACCTTGCGCAGGGCGCATGTAGGCCAACAACGTTAGCATGGGAACTAGCCGCTGTCGCTGCGCACCACGCGTCACGCGTCACGCCCAACCCTGCGCAGCGCCAGCCTCTCCCAGTGCCGCCGTGATCGCCTTTCCCACTTACGGAGCAACGCCCGCCTGTGCGAGCACGGAGCTAGGGCTTCACCTTGGCTCCCCGGAGACAGGTGCTGACTCCCCGTGTCTTCGCTGGCTCGTTGGTCCTGACTGGTTCGGACACCATCTATGTCCACCGCCGCTCCTTACATCTCGCACCTGCCCACTCCCGCGCCGCCCTCTTCACACCTTCGTCCATGTCGACGACGCCGCAGACGCAGTACCAGCCATCGTCATCACCCGCCACCCACCGCCCACTATCGAGGTTATCGCCCCAGTGGCGTGTCCGTCTACGAGTACAACGAGCAGCTCGCAGAGGCCAACTTACACGCTGCTGCCACCGTCGACTACCACAACCCATACACGTCATCTAGGCAGGCGCTTGCGCCTCAAGCCAACGTTCACTGCAGATGCGGCGCTCACGACATGTACCTCCCCGGAAGACGTGAAGTTCCCAACCCAGAAGGCCAACAAATCCTCCCCGCGCTCCTCGCAGCCTGACCTCCGTCTCAAGCCGTCTGCGTCCAGACTCCATGCGCGAGCGTCAGCGTGCCCACGACATCCGATCGCCTGCGCAGCCACCGCCGACTCTGCGGCCATGGCAAGTCTGCACAGGGTGGCGAACACGCCGGGAGTGCCCATGGTCAGGTCACGATGCTATACGACACTCCTGACCTGACAATACCATTATCTCACAATGAAACTTTATCTACCTTAGCTGCCCGGTGTGTCTCTGCCCACACGAGTTCTTCCCTCCTGACTATGCCCCCGGGCCATCTCTCGCCGAGCTCATCTCCGTCCACATCTCTTTCATCGCATCTCTCTCAGACATCGTGATGCACAGCTCCTTATACGCTGGCCGTGTGTCCTTCTCTCACCGTACACCTCTTGACAACCCGTCTCGTCTCTATCTTCGGTCATGGCAAACAATACTACTGTACTGTTTCTTTTTCTGTGGCATCATTCTGGTGTCCAACGCATCGTCCGTGGTACGCCATTCTATGCTGCATCGTGATGTACATTAACTCATTTAATATTTGCTGTTGTACAATGATCGCCCTGTAGACACCGCTGATGTGAAGATTCTCTATGGCTCTCGCCGTATTTGTTCCTTGATCAATTCTGTCTGGGAAGATGGCATTTCCAATGTTGTCGTTCCCCTTGGTCATATGCTCGCGGTGCGTTGCCATCTCTGCCGATATCTGCAAATGTAGCTCATCTGGCCATGCAGGACAACTCAAACCGCTTCTCATATCGATTATCGCGTGCAGCATTGAAGTTGCGCGCACTATGGTTATGGCTTGAACTTCCCCCTCAACACAACACGGGTTCTCCACTACATGCACGTTATTGCATTTTTTTCATCATTCGTCACACCGATCCTGCGTTGCAACACGCCCCTATTCAGCTTTCTTACTTTATTCTTTGGTTCACATACCATTGCATTCAACACTACATCCTTTCTGATTACATGTTCAACCCTCGTGATTTCGCACGTCTCTTGCGCTGTTCATACTCCCTGACGCCGTCCCACTCCTATGGTGCTTTACTGTACAATCATGGGCTACGTTTTGCGTACGGCGACGCCTCCACTAACGCCCGTGAATGCCCTGCGCTGTTCCTCTCGCAGCGCTACGACTGCCCTTTGTCGACATGGCCTGCAGATGATGCCGAGATGCGCCTGCCATCAACTATCGACATGTGCTACCATAATGCAAGGTGAGTTGCACGTACATTGGTGCTGTCCAGCGTGCTCATTCGTATTGGCTTTACATTAGTGCCCTACTTCAATGGTAGCCACCGCTTCATCATTCTACTCTGACTATTCGTCCTCACGGTGGCCCCTGTGTGTATGTGCCACCAGTCGATCCTCGTGCCATCTACAATTATCTAGATCGTGTACTTTGTATCGTGCCGTAATGGTGTTATGCCCATATGAGACTTCCGCTTTCTTATATTCATCTTGGCATTGATCTCGGGCATTGTCCACATCTGTACTTCATCTCCTTTGTCGGAGCGCACAGAACGCCTGCCCGACATTTAAAATATCTTATTATTCGTCAATGTCTACAGATCTTCGACTCACAGTCGCTCTCCGCGCACCATTGCAACAACAACTCTGCAATGTGCATCCTTCGCAATGCTGCTGCAGGCTGTACGTTCCATTCCCGCTCTGGCGAATGTTGCACTTCAGTACACTAACATTACCCGCCACATGTCATTGTTCAGTATTCGCCGCTCTGCGCAAATTAAACATCGCACGTCCGCGTACCCACGCAACGCAAACTCTGCGTACAGAGCTGCCCGCGCACGCACTGCCGCTTGCAACCGTCATTCACTGCGGTTACATCACGCCCGAGATTCAGCATCGTGGCCCTACCCATATTACTATGCATGTTCAGCATGCCAGATGATAGACTCCATTACAGTAACATGCCCCTGTTGGTAGTCGCCTCAGGCTCATGCTGTGCATCGTACTAACCTGTTATACTACTGCCTCTATGTGTAACCCTCTTCTATTGTCTCCGACTTCATACAACACCATCTGCCAAGCTGTACATCGCAGACACAGTCAACCATTCCCAGTCTAATCATCTATCTTCTCCATTGCACTCTCGTGTGTGCGTATCCTTCGAAATTCAATGCAGTCATCCATTGCCTGCAACTCCCTTGCTACGTAAGTATTCAACGGTCAATCTGACAAAGGTGCATGCAGAACTTATGTTTTCGTGAAAGCCCACCGTCGGAACCAATGTCCACGGCACTGGCCTCACCAGACCTTTGGGCTATAGGTCCCATCTCGTCACCACGCCTGCATTGGGGAGCCCGTCGTGGCCGCTCTGAGCATCGCTGCCCGACGTGCAAGATTGCTCTGCTTACCGGTGAAGACGCCGGTTTTTGTTGTGGACCGGGAGGAAAATATTTCAGCGACGTCTCACCACTGCCACCACTGCCACTTGAGTTCACACCTCTCCTCACCCATCCTGGCATCTCAGCGGCTTCACGGTCTCTGAATCTCATCTTCTCATTCGCATCCCTCGAGACCACTGCACAATTTCCGTCCACAAATGGCCCACCAGGCTTCATGGCCATCCAGGGGAAAATCTACCATCGCATTCGTCCTACGCACGACAATTCTGGTGTGCGCTGGCTATTGTACGATGGCTTCATGCGCGATCGTTCGCCACACCAAGATATCGCGTCCACCCTTCCTCTGCCATGGATCGACATCGTACGCCTCGCACTTCTGCGCCACAACCCTTTGGTTCAACAGCTGCGCATACTCGGGTCACTTGACCGAGAGAGCTGTCCCACTGCCCATCTCGTGCTCAATGAGGCAGCTACGACGAACGAGATCGCAGCCATCATGTCGTATGAAAACACCATCCAATCTGATGTTCGTGCACGCACCATGATCATATCCCGTGCCAACAACTCCGCAAACCAACGCATCTCCACGACAAGCAAACTATGGGAACCTCTTGCATACCCACTGTTCTTCCCCCATGTCACGCTAGGCTGGGGCGTCACTGGATCGCCTGAAGATACGCAGCTCAGTGGTGCAATACAAGCAAGCAACAACGGAAGCGCACCTGACGCCGATAACGTGTCCACCCAGATTTGGTTCTACCGTGCTCGCCTTCTTCGCGAAGAGCGATTCCGCATCTTCGGCCGCCTGACGAACGAATACGTCGTCGACATGTTCAGTCGGAACCTCGAGAGTCGCCTGAATTACATCCGCCAAAATCAGCGGCGCATCCTTCAGAATGACGCCGAGCTCATGGGTACCGACAACGTGGAGCAGACAGAGAACATCTACCTTCCCGCGTCCTTTCTTGGCTCGCGCCGTTGGGCATCCGAGCAGGTAGCGGACTCGCTCGCCATCGCCGCTCGCTTTGGTGCACCGACGTTCTTCGTGACGATGACATGCAACACTGAATGGCCCGAGATCACGGAACAGCTTCGTCCCGGTCAGACGTTTGCGGACATCCCCGTTGTCGTTTGCCGCGTGTTCAAACGAAAGCTCGCCATCTTGGAGAAGGAACTGCGGCATATGTTCCCTAACGCGGGCCCCGTCGTATACCTAATCCGTGTCGTCGAGTTCCAGAAACGAGGCGTACCTCATGCTCACATCCTCATCAAGTACGCTGCTGACTGCTCCGATCCGCAATACATCGACAGTGTCATTTCAGCAGAAATTCCGGCAGACACTGGTGATGCCCACCTCGTCCAGAAATTCATGCAGCACCGCCATCCCGCAGAATCACAGCCCATCGCGAAGTATTGTCAGCGGCTCGCCCAAGATGGTCAGCGCTTTTGCCGTTTTGGTTACCCACAACCTGTGCAACAGCAGACAACGGTTGATCCCCAGGGCCGCGTTCACTATCGTCGACGCAAAGATGCTGACCGGATGGTCGTACCCCACTGCCTTCCTCTCCTCCGCAAGTTCCAGTGTCACCTCAACTTCGAGGCTGCGAGCACGTCACATATCTTTCAGTATCTCTTCAAATACATCCATAAAGGTATGACTCACTGCAACACACTCCTAGACCCCATTGTGCTCATCTGTTGTCGTTGCAGGTCCTGATCATGCAAAGTACAGTGTTTTGACCGAACATGATCAATCACCTGTCGACGAGATCGAGGACTATTGGAATGGGCGTTACCTTTCTGCTGGTGAGGCGACGTGGCGCATCCTCGGCTTTCACATCACTCGGAAGGACCCTGCTGTCTCCGCACTGCCTGTTCATCTGGCTGGCTCGCCCACACATCGACGTTATGCGACTCACACGAGCGACGGCTCAGATACCATGTCGCTTCTTGACCACTATTTCGCACGGCCGCATGGCAGCTTCACGTTCAGCAATGGTAACGTCAGGAGCTTCGCACAATTGACGTATACCGAGTACTTCACCTTATTCCGATTGGCGAAGTACAGCAACACGCACGTACATCGCGAGAACTACTACGTTGAAAGCCATACGGCCTCGCATACCTCCCCAATGCACGTCATCCTTCGAAGCGCACAGAAGACACATATTGCCCGCATCCACTCTGCTAGACCTAACGAAGGCGAGAGATTCTATATCCGGGCACTCCTTCAACATCGATCAGCAATGTCATATGATGAACTACGCACCGTCGATGATGTTGTCATGCCATCGTTCCAGGACGCAGCCATCGCTCTCGGGCTCTTCGCAGACAAAAAGGAAGCAGAGTTGTGTTTTCTCGAAGCCGTACACGACCTCCGAACGCCTCGTCAGCTGCGCATTCTATTCGTGCATCTATTGGTCAATGATTGCGCCGACACACCTCTCGCTCTCTGGGAAATGTTTGCGGAACACATGTCCTTCGACTTCACACTGCGACATAACAACGCCAATGCACTCGGATTGAACGACGCTCTGCAGGACCTAGGGCACTACCTCAGCGAGTACGGCAAGACTTTGAGCGAGTTTGGTCTACCTGAGCCGACGAGCCGCATGCCCGAGCTGCAACATGAGATCGAACGGTGGTGTTCGCAAGAAGCAGCTCTACGTCGGCAAGCATCTCACGCGTTGGCGTCCATGAACGATGGTCAGAGGCTCATCTTCCACCACGTTGTACAAGCGGCGATGAATTCGACTCCACTTGCCATCTTCATTGATGGTAAAGCAGGCCGAGGGAAAACGTACCTCGTCAATGCAATTTGCGATCACCTTCGCGGGCACGGGCGCATCGTCTTACCCACTGCAACAGCTGCATATGCTGCTCAGCTTTATCCTGGAGGTAGAACGACGCATTCATGCTTCAAGGTACTTAGCTTTCTTTCACCGACCATTCGCTTTGATATTGGTGCCAACTGACGACGCACTAAAGGTACCTGTGAACGATAACAATGAGCTGATTGAATGTCAGGTCGATTATCATCAACCACGAGGCGAGCTTCTGCGAGAGGCGTCGTTAATCATCTGGGATGAGGCTCCGATGGCAAACAAAGCAGTGCTGGCGTGTGTCGAAGACACTCTACGGCAAGTCACAGCAAACAACTCACCATTCGGTGGAAAGCCTATCGTACTCCTGGGAGATTTTCGACAGACATGTCCGGTCGTCCGCAAAGGAAGTAGAGCTCAGGTCGTCGACGCATCCATACGACTTTCGCCTATCTTCGCCCGGCTTGACATCCATCGCCTGCTCATACCCATCCGCAATGCCGACGACGTTGAGCTCGCGCACATGGTCGATGCTATCGGTGACGGTGAAGGTCCAGAAGTCTCTCTGCACCTCCTGCAACATGTATCCGATGACCAGCAGCTGATCGACTTCGTCTTCCCGACACATGTACTCACCAATCCCATCGCCTGTCTGAAACGTTCCATTCTTGCTCCCACCAATAGGCAGATTGACCGATACAACAGCATCATTCTCGACCGTATTGATGAGACAAGCAGAACATACCTTGCGGCCGACTCTCTGAAGGAGGCAGACGACGCCGGCATCGACTCCCCCGACAGCATACTTGACTACGTCGCCCGCCAGAATCCCGCAGGTTTTCCTCCCCACTCGTTGACCGTGAAGGTTAACGCCGTCTACCGCTTGCTGCGCAATTTCTCCCTGGACCGTGGCTTGGTCAAGAACGTTCGCGTGGTTGTCATTGCGGTTGGCCCCCGTCTCGTCACAGTCCGCATTCTACGGGGTATTGCAGGTGTCAGTGTCATCGATGAAGAAGATGTCCTCATACCTCGGATCACATTCTCTACCACCCTTTCCTCGGGTCATACACTCCTCCGTCGTCAGTTTCCTCTTGCGCCGGCATATGCAACGACCTTCAACAGCTGCCAAGGGCTAACTCTTGACGCAGTGGGAGTAGACCTTACGCGACACGTGTTTTCACATGGGCAGCTGTACACCGCCCTTTCGCGCATACGTCACCGTGACCATGCACGAATTTTGCTCAAACACGGCGAATCCACTACTATGAATGTTACCTATGATGAGCTTCTACTATGATCGTTCATGACATTAATTACATTGGTGTTCACTCAACCGCCGGAGCGTAGCGATGGCGTCCCTTGTATGTATGCGAGATGTCCTTCGCAGCCGTAAAGATCCTTCTAAACGTCTCACCTCGAAAGACTGACATACGGGCAACCTCCTGCATCTGACATAGACAACTCACCGACGTCCTCAACTCGTCTCCGATGCGATCAAGCGGCGTGGTTTCAAGTCTGTACGCGCTCAGAGATATCGGATTCTTGCACGTTGCGGCTTCATGATGACCGAGCCATTGACGTAGGCGTGAAAGCACTGAGAGCACTGAACCAGGCTTCAGCAGATAGGCAGCAAACTGAATAGAGCAGCGTACAGGAGATGATCGGGGTGCATTCGCTCAACAAGGCGGCGAGGATGAAGGGCTCTGGTGTCGCACAAAAGCCAGCCATCGACGCGCACCATTCACGAGAGGACAAGGGGGTACAGAGAAACGAGGAGGGCATACATACATGGACGGTCAAGACGACCCGCAGACGAAGATAATAAGGTCACAGGAGACCCGACCAAGCATTTCACGCATTCTGGGCCTCACGAAAGCCGAACGCCGCAGCGACACCGGGTAAGAGGAGTTGCGGGACTGTCAGCCAATCCTGCGCGAGCTGCAGCTGGATCGGTCTTCGCGCCCGAGAGGATTGTCCTCGCCTCTAACGGTGCCTGTCAGACGGCACAGGCGAGAGTGGGAATGCGCGTGCGGACTTATAGGCGAGTCCGGAGACACGGCCGTATCAGCACGTTCGCATGACTAACGGACGTCAGACGAGACGCAGCAGCAGCGGCGAGTGGTACCGGCAGCAGAGAAGCGTGGCTCAACTACGCGGGGCACGACGAGGAAAGGTGGTGATCGACGAGGAGCGATGGGGTCGACGTCCGGGGCGGCGAGGCGAAGAGGCAGAACGTTGACACGTGCACGCACTCCGAGTCGGCGAAAGAGCGGGAGCCGGCCGTCTTCGGGGCGTTCGTCCGAAGGCCCAATCACCTCCCATAAATTCGTCAGGGAGCGCGGCGTTTGCCGGCATACGTCTTTACCCTCCCTCTCTTCGCTGTCGCTCGTCGTCTCCTACGACGATGTTCAACCTCTCCTCCCGCTCCGCGAAGGCGTGGCGGTCAGTCCAGCGACTGGCCGCCGGTATGGCCACCGTCGCGAGGGCAAGATCGGCGACAAGAAGGTCGCCATGTCCTTGGTCGAACCTAACGCGTACATCAACTACCAACGCATCGAGGACAACCTCGCTATCGTACGCGACAGGTGGGCAAACCGGTCTTCGTTCCCTCGGACGCGCATCTGACTCGCTCAGGCTAAGCGGCCGTGACTATGTCCGAAAAGATTGTGTACGGTCACCTCGACGACCCGCACAACCAGGACATCGTCCGCGGGACGAGTTATCTCAAGCTGCGCCCTGACGTACGTGTTTGTAACACGGCTACGCATTGCTCCGCTCACCCTCTCCACAGCGAGTTGCGTGCCAGGATGCTACCGCCCAGGTGAGGCCCTTAAGCGTATGCGAATACCTCAGCCCCGGCTTGACGTCATATGTCCCCGCATAGATGGCTATTCTGCAGTTCATGTCGGCAGGCATGGACACGGCCGCGGTTCCGACCACCGTCCACTGTGACCACTTGATTGAGGCCCAGGTCGGTGGTCCGAAGGATCTCGCGCGCGCGGTGAACACGAACAAGGAAGTCTACGACTTCTTGGCTACCGCCACGGCGAAGGTAAGCGTCATAGACAGTGCCTCCGAGTGCGGGCGCCTTACTCCTCATTCAGTACGGTCTCGGTTTCTGGAAGCCTGGCTCTGGTATTATTCACCAGATCATCCTTGAGAACTATGCCTTCCCCGGTGGTCTCATGATCGGGACGGACTCGCACACGCCGAACGCCGGCGGTCTCGGTATGGTTGCTTGCGGTGTCGGCGGTGCTGATGCGGTCGATGTCATGGCTGGTATCCTTGGGAGCTCAAGTGCCCCAAGGTCATCGGTGTCAACTTGACTGGCAAATCAGCGGCTGGACTACTCCTAAGGGTATGTTTCCACCGCTACTACTGACCTTGGCTGTGCTTAACGCGACTACAGATGTCATCCTCAAGGTTGCGGGTATCCTCACGGTCAAAGGCGGTACCGGTGCCATCGTCGAGTACAAGGGTCCTGGTGTTGAGTCGCTGTCGTGCACGGGTATGGCTACGATCTGCAACATGGGTGCTGAAATCGGTGCAACGACCTCGATCTTCCCCTTCAACCACCGGATGGTCGACTACCTCAAGGCCACGAAGCGCGGCGACATCGCGGAGTATGCAAGAGCTTCTCGCACAACCTGCAGGCGGACGAGAATGCCGAGTATGACGAGCACGTCGAGATGTGGGTACTCGTCCATGTCTTTTTCGCAGTGACGCTGACTGTCTCTCAGAACTTGTCCGAGCTCGAGCCTCACATCAACGGTCCTTTCACCCCGACTTGGCGACTCCGATCTCGAAGTTCAAGGAGGCTGTCGAGAAGAACAACTGGCCTGCTGATCTCCGTGTCGCTCTGATCGGTTCTTGCACCAACTCTTCGTACGAGGACATGTCCCGCGCTGTTTCTATCGTCAAGCAAGCTGCCGACCATGGTCTGACGACCAAGAGCAAGTTCACGGTTACTCCCGGTTCCGAGCAGGTTCGTGCGACCATCGATCGCGACGGCTACATCGCGACGTTCGAGGAGGCTGGCGGTATCGTGCTCGCCAACGCGTGCGGTCCTTGCATTGGTCAGTGGGAAGGCGTGACGTCAAGAAGGGCGAAGTCAACTCGATCATCACCTCCTACAACCGTAACTTCACCGGCGTAACGACGCTAACCCCGCCACGCACGCTTTCGTCGCCTCCCCCGAATCGTGACCGCCTTCGCGTTCGCCGGTGACCTCCGCTTCAACCCCCTCACGATACCCTCAAGGGCGCCGACGGCAAGCCGTTCAAGTTCGTCGACCCGACTGGCGCTGAGCTCCCGCCGAAGGGCTACGACCCCGGAGAGAACACCTTCCAGCCTCCCCCGCAGGACCGTGCCAGCGTCCAGGTCGCCGTCGACCCCAAGTCTGACCGTCTTCAGCTCCTCACACCCTTCGCTCCTTGGGATGGCAAGACCCCCACTGACCTCCCCATCCTCATCAAGGTCAAGGGCAAGTGCAGTAAGTGTTGTCACTAGCACCTGGCGATTCGATTTGCTTATGATTATTATCTGCAGCGACGGATCACATCTCCGCTGGTGGTCCCTGGCTCAAGTATCGTGGTCACCTCGAGAACATCTCTCGTACGTAGTATCTTGTCTTTGATCTGTGCTTATTCCTGATGGCTCTGCGTAGAAAACTGCCTGATCGGTGCCATCAACTCTGAGAACGGCGAGGCTAACAAGGTGAAGAACCAGATCACTGGCGAGTACGGTGCAGTTCCCCAGACCGGTGCCTACTACCGCGATCACGGCATCAAGTGGGTCGTCATCGGTGACCACAACTACGGTGAGGGTTCGTCGCGTGAGCACGCCGCTCTCGAGCCCCGCTTCCTCGGCGGTATGGCTGTCATCACCCGCTCGTTCGCCCGTATCCACGAGACGAACCTGAAGAAGCAGGGCATGCTCGCGCTCACGTTCGCCGACTCCGAGGACTACGAGAAGGTCCGCCCTGACGACCGCGTCGACATCCTCGGCCTCGAGTCCTTCGCGCCTGGCAAGAACCTTACGCTGGTGCTCAAGCACAGCGACGGCTCCAAGGAGGAAGTCTCGCTTGCGCACAGCTTCAACGAGGGCCAGATTGGGTGGTTCAAGGCCGGTTCGGCGCTGAACCTGGTGAGTACCCCCTGGTGCCTGCGACATTCTCGAGTGGAACTGACTGGTATTGCAGATGGCGGCGACGGCGAAGGCGAAGGCGCAGCAATAAATGTGTGCGGACAATAGCGCGTGGCCATTGACGTTGACGATGATGATGATGATGCAGTCTGTCCTCTCATGCAATGCATGTCTCCTCGCATAGCTTACGGTTGTATTCTTCTTGTCTTTATTCGCTACCATTCTTTCCATACTTCCCGAGACGTGTAATAGCTAGAACGACCGAATCGAATGTTCCATGACTAGCTAAGGCGGACGTGCTTGACATCTGCGGTGAAAGGATATATGCAAGCTTCCCACCTAGCGTTATCACTACTAGTACATAGTACTATGGCTGCTCGCTCCTCTACGCCTTGTAGCTGTCTTTTGACTCACCGGCATCTTCGCTGACTCGAAACCGACCAGAACGCTCGTCTTGACCCAGCCACGAGTACGCAAAGGGGAGGACACTCATTCAATGGACCTCGCTCATCAAACACTCGAGTCGAAAATCCTCCTATGGTTCGACAGTCGTGCCTTCCAGTGCCTAGGGTCAGGTCCTCGCTGAGCTTTAGAGTGAGCCGAAGGTCCAGTTGTGGTGTTGTTGTTCGACCGGCGTTTGAGACCGGAGGCACCAAGCTGAGTGCGAGGCCCTCCGAAACAATGATCGCAGCAGAGAGGCAGAAAAAGGCGAGGGCGTCAAAAGCAGGTGGCCCGCGTTCGCCGTTGGCGACGACGAGCTCGTTGTTGACGGCTATTTACACCAGCGCCTTACCTTGGCTTAGACCAGTGAAAGCACCTCGAAATATGCACAACTTATCTTCGATTCTGCAACCACAATCCCTGCTGATGAGCCCGCCGGAATCCCCTCACTAACTCTCGCTGTCCTCTTCTGTGCTCGACGCCGTGCGCGACATGAGCAGCGATGCGACTGAAGCCGCCCTCGGCCTCCTGGGACTCACCGCCGCCACCTTCGACACCGTCCCGACTGTGCCCCTCAAGCGCAAACAAAGTCCTCCATCCTCGTCGCGGCACCAGCAGACTGTCTCGACATCGACGGGCTCGGACACTATCAGCTGTATCTGTGGCTTCACCTACGACGACGGATTCTCGATTGGCTGTGATATTTGCTCGCGCTGGTGCCATGCCGCTTGCTTCGGGATCGTCGAGTCGGAGGTGCCAGAGGAGTGGCAATGTTGGGTGTGCAGTCCACGGCCGGTCGACAAGGAGCGTGCTATCCGTGTGCAGAAGGCTCGACAGAGGAGCGCGCTGTCGCACGAAGCGGAGAAACAGCGACGGCGGATGAGCCCGGGGTCGACAGAAAGGGGAGAAAGACGAGCGGGTCGACGGCGGAGGGCGCTGCGCACGCGAAGCGGAAACGCAGGGCGTCGACGGCGGCGGCGCCGTCGCACGAAGACGAGCACGTCGACATCGACGAGCCCTGGACGCTGAGCTACGTGCATATCAACCAGGATATTGTCCCTCACGACGAGACGCGCGACAGCCTACGCCGCGTCGCGACTCGATGGCGAGGAGTCACCGCCCTCAAGCCAGATTCCAGCGAGCCCACATCCCCAGCAACCCTCGAGCCTGGCGACTATCAGTCTTCTCCCCTCATCAACCTCCGCCCTCTACCACCTTCGTCTTTCTTGCCGTCGCTATCAGCAAACCTTGACCCCTCTGTCCGCCCTCCATCGTATGCGGCTCACACCGTTCGCGCTATCCCGTCGTCAAGTATGATCACCCCGTATGTGTCCACCATCACGCCGTCGACAGCTTACCTCGCCGATCCGCTAAACGCATATGCGCACCTCAGCATGCCGAAGCCATTCGTGCACTTGATCGGGCCACCTCTCGACGTCGCACTGGATTCCCGCACTTCAGGCAACCTCGGCCGCTTCGTCCGCAGCGGGTGCCGCCCAAACGCTATTCTCCGACCTGTCCTATGTCCGCGCGGTAAGTCCCGCGCTGCAGCGCCGAACAGCACAGATGACGACGATCGCGAGACGTTGACCTTCGGCGTCTTCGCAACGCGGGATCTCAAGGCGCACGAGGAGGTGGTTCTGGGCTGGGAGTGGGACGACGGCAGTGTTGTACATCAGCTACCGGCACTCATTGACAGCCCACATATATTCCCGTGTGTACTCACTTACACCTCAATGCATCGATCCGCAATTGACGTTCTTCTGGATCACCAGTCCTCATGAATTCCAGCATCTCCGCCAGCAGCTCATTTCCATGCTACACGCCCTCTCCTCGACCTTCACCACGTGTGCGTGTGGCTCGAGGACCCGGGATTGCGCGCTCGCCCGAATCGCCGAGTTCGTCGACAGCCAGACCCCACCCACTCCGTCACCCTCGCCTCCCACACCCTTCGCGGCTGATGGCGAACTCTGGGGCGCGGCTGGGGAGCGATCGCGCGCGCACAGCGGTGGTTCCGACGGAGTCGCCAAGAAGCACGTAAACCTGGGTCCGTTGGTTGGGGTCGAGCGTGGCTTCCGTACAAGAGAACGGGTACCATGGTCTGGAGGCTTGGGTGGAGTGGAGATGGTTCCTGCCTCGCCGACGTCGCCCGACGACAAGACCACGCACGACGATAGTAGTACTTACACAAGCACGGCAGCGAAGTCGAGGAAGGATCGCAAAGGGAAGTCCAAAGCGACCGACACCGACTACGCGCAGTGGGAGGCAGACACGAGCACGACTCCTGATATGGGCGAAGATGCTGTGTCCACACCCACAGAAGCGACCATGCCTCCAAAGCTGCGGAAACGGTGGATCCGCAAGGTGTCTGACTCGTTGCGAGCCGCACAGTTGGCTGCGAATGATGACCCTCCTATTGGTGTAATCGGAGAGCCAACTATGGACACTGGCCAGGATCAGAGGAGTAGTGGGACGGATGAACCGATGCAGGTCGATGAATCAGCAGCAGGTGCGTGTATTGTACCAGATCCTTGCAACGTGTCGCTGACGAGTATGACTGTAGATCCTGCTGCAGCCGCCATGCCGCCTCCTCCCTTACCTCCGCGCCTCGCCGCCCTCAGCCCCCGTACGCCCTCCTCCATTACCTTGCCCAACGCTTCCGTCTTGTCTGGGGCGAACGATACTCTGTCGCCTTCAACCCATTTCGCTAACTTATCCCTGTTGTCGCCTGTAACTTATGGACCCTTACCTTACTTCACCACTAACGCTGCTCGCCGAAACTCCACTTCGCCCACCCCTCTCCCTCGTGCATCACACGTACAGAGTCCTGATAGCCCCTCGGAGCAGCAGAGCGTCAGCCCTCAGGACCACGAGCGTCGATCGCCTCCAGTCCTCTCCAGACGAAGACAGCCCTTGACTGAGCCTACCGCTCCGAGCACTGTCGAAGTGAAGGCGTCTTCCCCTACGCACGAACCTCCGTCATTTGATGCCCGATCTTCGTCCGCGACCGACCTTCCGCCGTCGCCGTCAACATCTGCGACCCGGACTTGTCGGAGAACGTCTCGTCAACCCAGACTGCTCCGGAAGACCAAACGCTGCTCAAGAACCCGCACCCATGGATGTCTAGCCGAGCACCACCCCAGAACACTGGCACGCCCGACCGCGATATCGCGATGTCTTCGCCCTCCGCCGCCTCGCCGCGTCTTCCAGAGGAACACCCGGACCCCGCTCCCGACGCCACCACACAACCCGCGGACGAGCCAGCCCCAGCGCAGCGCACGCCCTCGCCGCCTCCGCGGCCGCCCTCCCCTCCGAAGGTCAAGCTGTCCCTGAAGGACTTTGCGCTCCGCAAGAAGAAGCTGCGCGAGCAGGAGGCGAGCAAGGCGCAGGAGCGGTCGAGCGTCGCGCCGTCAGACACGGCGTCGTCCTTGCCGAACACGCCTGCGGGGCAGTCGGCCACCCTCTTCGACTCGCCAGCGACGGCGAGCGTGGCGTTGGCTCCGGCTAGCGACGCTCCGAGTGCGAGCCCCATTGCTGTACCGCCAGACAGTGCGGCTCACGCTAGTAACGATGCGCCAACCCCAGCTGAGAAGCCGCTGACGGAGTGGAGAGAGCGGTCAATGGGATTGCGGAGGAGCGAGTGGTCAAGGCTCGCGATGCCCCCACACGGGAATCCTATGGACTCAAGTTGGAGATGATGGAGGCATCTGTTCCGCCAGAACCGCGTATGACCAACGGGCACCACCCTACGCCGTCGACCAAGCCTCACGACCTCGTGTTCTCCCAGCAGAGCCGAAGCCGATGCTGAACCACTGACGAAGGCCCGCACTCCCGTGAGACACGAGAGCCCACACGCAGTCTCCGTTCACTCAAAGAGAGCAGCCTCAAGACGCTACAACCCAGGGCGCGCAGCCCGCGCGCCGAGCAGGCCCTCCCAATGGCAACGACGCGGCGCACGAGGACGGGGAGATCATCAGCCCCCGCCCAAGTCGCACGCGCTCCCCCCGCGCTCAAACTCGCCCCCCACGCACCCGCGCTCGTTCTACCCGCCCCGCGCGCCCGCGGGGTTCGCCCCCCGCCGCCCGTTCCGCCACCAGACGTTGCAGAACACGCTCCCGCCCGACCGCCACCTGCCCAGTGGGCCGAGGGCGCTCCGGGGGCTGCACGACGCGCCGTATGCTGCGCAGTCCTCGAGGCCGTCGGGGGGAGGGCCGTTGCCGAGGGGTCCATCCGCGGATAGGGAGAGGATGGAGTGGGACCGCGACCGCGACAGAGACAGGGACAGGGATAGAGATAGAGACAGAGAGAGGGGGGAAAGAGACAGAGAGAGGGTGTGGGTGCCGTCCGCGAGGGGGCGGGGGCGGGGAGCGAGTTGGAATCGGTGAAGGTGAGGCGGTGTGTTAATTATGGCTATTGTATTTTTGTGGGCTCTGTCGTTTTTTCTTGTTCCTTGTTCTCGTTTCCCTCCGTCTGAGTGCGTACAATGCTAGCGCGCTGATCAGTGTATTTGTGCGTGTGAAGTGCGAGGAATCGGTCCGGGTTCGCTCGCTGCGTGCGATGCCTTGCTGAATGTCCGACGTGCGGTACAGTATGTGTGCTGTGATGTGCCTTCTTGTGTACCCACCTGTATTCGCCACCCTCATCTCACCGAGAAATGTATCGACGATTCGTAGACAGACTCGCGCATCGAGGGATCTACATACTGGCCTCGGCCGACAGGGACCGCCGTCAGACAAACGGGCGGTCGCTGATTGGCCTTGGGAGCCTTACCTTACGTCAGCTGCCGTATTAGGGAGCGGGTCGGGACGATGACAAAAGTGGTGGGACGTGTTTCCTCCCCGCCACCACCGCCTACATCGCTCCTCCGTCCCCGTCCTCGCCGTCCTCTCTCTCGACGTTCTCTCCTTCGGACGTCGCAGCCATGGCGTCCTCAGTAGCCCGCCTCCACCGCATGCAATGCACACTCTCCCTCGCATCCTCCTTCGCCGCATCCTCGTCCAGCCGCGCCATGATCTTCCCCCCACCCACCGCCATGCCATGATGTCCGCGCTCTCTCGCGATGGGTCCCCAAATTCAACACCCCTACCGTCCAAGCCGCTGGGCCAGACACCCCCCGTGGTCATCCCCTCCCAGAAGGCAAAGGCGGTAGAGCCATCGCCAAAGTCGCTCTCGCCTGACGCGGCGTCGCCGCAAGTAGCAGCGCGCCCGCCGCCCGCTCCAAAGGCCGAGCGGCGCAAGCCCACCATCAAGCCGACCAAGGCTGCCATCACAGTCGTGCGTAGCTCAGGACCGCTTCACTCGCAGCCTGCATGCTGACAGACTAACGGCGTGCGGTTTAGACACCCGGCGCTGTGCAGCGGCTCCGCGCACTGCTCAAGGGGCCTACACCCCAGCTGATACGGATAGGCGTGCGGAACAAGGGCTGTGCAGGGCTCTCGTACCACCTCGAGTACGTCGACAAGCCCGGCAAGTTCGACGAGGTGGTTGAGCAGGACGGCGTGAAGGTCCTCATCGACAGCAAGGCGCTCTTCTCTATCATCGGCAGCGAGATGGACTGGCATGAGGACGCACTTAGGTCCGTCATCCTTCCGCATTTCCTCCTGTGGTCATGCTCATCTGTCTCGGTATGTGCAGCGCGAAGTTCGCGTTCAAGAACCCGAACATCAAGGATGCGTGCGGGTGCGGAGAGTCATTCAGTGTCGGCTCGTGAGCGGTGCGCGCCAAGCCAGAGGTGTACGCTTATCACGTTCTCTATATCCCCCCGGATGATGCCTGCGCACGAGCTAATATTCCTGCTTCACCACATCTGTATCCATATACATCGCTACCCGGTAATACATTAGACGGTATTCGAACCGTACGCTTGACCGTCTCATGAAGCACACTGGGGGTTTGCATGCGGGTGGCGAGTCCGGCACGACGGCGCTCCGTTAGTACGAAGATGAACCCCCTACGCCGTTAGCCTGTACTGTTGTGTGCTCAGTGCCTCCACGTTTCGTGTCGAGGCACCAGGAGGTCCGTCTCGGTCGACCCTCGACGTCGTCGACGTCATCTGGCGGTGGAAGACTTCGGGTGAACTCAGTTGGGCTCCCCGTATTGTCCTCTCCCTGCGCTCAGGCTTAAGCTTCATTAAATACGGTCCCAGTATCGACGGGGGCCTGGTGTCTGGGGCAATCGAATGTCTGTCCCGACCACAGCAACCATACTGCCGTCAGTCCAGTCTTTGAATTCAATTCCCCATGTGTGATACAAGCATAAGCGGGCGCGAATTCTTTCTCCGACAACAGCAACATGTCGACCCGCGGCCGCGGGGCCATTCTGTACGTTGGGACCGCGCAACAAATTAGCAGAAAGGCCTAACGATGATGGTCCTATACTCACGAACTCCATGCGACGATATGAGCCAGGATGCAGGGTTGCAGGGATGTCAATACATGTTGCGTCGAAGACCTTGGGCCGGGGGTGCGCATCCTCTCCGGCGGTTTCTTCTGTTCAACTTGCATACTCTGACGATGTATCTCATCCATGTCCTGGCTCCAGCTGTAGATGTCTTGGGTGTTATGCACAGTGCTTCAAGGACACTCAGCTTTCCGTCGCGATTTGACCAACTCCACATTACTACGTACCTCAATATGCCTCGTCCATGCGAGCGTGGCATCTTCCGCCTGACGAGCTCGTCCAACTGATCGTACCGCTCTCGTAGTGCTGAACCCATCCCAGTATTGCCAGACGCCCAATGGTCTCCAAAATCGCCAATGCCTATACAGAAGCCGCGCGACGCAATAGTACCGGAGAAGCGCTTCTCCTGCAGTATACTGTCCAATCGCGCCAGGACATCATCCTGCTCCATTGTCATCAGCAGTCCATCCAGGTGTTCGGCCATGTTGTCCGTCCGAAGCCATAACATAACGACCATAGCTTGGAAGTGTTTCGAGACGATACGAGATAGGATGTGCGGGATCCAGAGCCACTCTGCAAAGGGGTGGTACAGCGAGATCTCCAGCTTCCACAGCTGGTCGTGGTGTGAAAGGTTGTAATGTCGCTCTGTAGGCATGAAACAATCAGCGACGTGGCTCGGGAGATAACTAGGAAAACCTGCCGACTGTAGCATCAATTGCATCATCACGAACAGGAGAACTGGTATTAATATTGAGCACAACCGTTTCTGCAGATGTGGAACTCGCATCCAGCAAAGTCTGGCTTCTGCTGGCTGCCGAGGATGGATCCAACTCGCCGTCCACCCCAAGAGCGAGATCGCGCACTCGAGAAGCCCGGCTGATCTGCATGAAGAGGTCTTCGACTGCTGGTGCAACCCATCGCACATCGAGACACTTCATATTTGCACAGTTCAGGGGGAGAGAGGCCGGGGAGACGTGCTGTTTCTGCAAGCAGTCAACATTGGAGCACCATAAATTCCTAAGCCGCGGGAGTGCTGAAACAAGGTGGGACAGCTGGGCAACGCTCGACAAGGTGACTTCGGAGATGTTTAGAGTGTCGATGTAGCTGAACACCCCTAGGAAGCCGATATCCTCCATTCGGACCGAGCCGATGGTCCACTCAGCATGTTCAATGATGATCACCCGCAACCTCGGAGCCTTGCCCGCGAGCATAACGGCAAACGTCCCCAGGTGCCGGATCGGTTGACGCTCCCCGGGAGAAGCACCCGATATGACGACCTGGTGAACAACCTCACGGAGGCGAGGTTTTGCGCGGAGTGTCTTCGAGAGCGAGAGGACGTCCGTCCGATCTCGTAGATGGACGCGTCGACGAAGGTGGTACCACGTCAGGAAGTACCAGTCTTGGCATACGAGGGCGCAGGATGTGAGAGCGGTCAGATGTGGCTCGCCCTTTGCAACAACGTAACCCGTATCCCATCCCGCAGCTAGGTAGTCGATGATCCGTTCGCAGACCTCCACAGGGAGCCGCGAGATCGCAGGTCCGTGAGAAGAGCCCTCGGACGTCGATGCAGCTGTAGTACTATAATCCACATGTGTAAACCAATATACATGCGTCTGGACAGTGGCACTTACATTGACTCTGCTCTATCCATTCCGTTGACGTGGGATGTGCGCTACGGCGACGTGACCGCGCTGTCGCACAGATGAGAATCTCCTGCCCGTGCGCAGCGACAGCAGACCCTGGACGGTGGAAACACGTTACTGATAGCCTCATCATCTCAGACTGCGGCTCTCCAAGAACAAACATAGTGCGATAGCACACTACCTGATGTCCGGTATGTACACTGGCTCCCAGACAAGCCAGATGCACCGTCTTGGTCGTAGGTTCGCGCGGTGCTGGCGCCCGTTGGTGGTCGCGACGCTAAAAGGAAAGCACGGTGTCAGTAGTGATATTCGTTCACGAAAGCGGAGCCGTACCTCGTGAGGACTTTTGGTGTGCGCTGCAAAGAAAATCGCGGCTGGACGAGGCGGAGAGCGCAGGGAGAGCGAACGCAAAGATAGGCGGTACATATATGCATCGATACAACGTAGCGCGCGCTCGCCGGCGGGTATAGAAGCGTCGAACACAGACACACGAGTCGCCAGCGGTTCTTTGCTGCCAGCCTTGGATGCGGTGAGATACAGGCTGTTCGCAGCCGGTGCGAGGATGGCCCTCTACGGCCTGAAGCGTCTGCAAAGCGATACTCACGTCACTAACATTCGGTGGAGTGCACGACAAACGCATATATATACAGAGGACTGGCCTCCTTGGATACAGTGAACCTTATTCAGTTGACCGCGTGCGAGGCAGACATGTCAGAACCTTGAGCTTGAGTCCGTCCAAAGAAGGCTTACCGATAATCAAGGTGGACCACACAGACGTGGGATCAAGGTCCAGGCGCAAGGTCATGAACAGAGGAAGCGAACGCGCGGGCCAATGTCGCAGGCGATCCAGTACCAGTGAAGAGCCTGAGTACTCCGCAGGATTTGTATGTAGCTTCGGTTCATTCGGTCGCCGGGATGAGCGATACCTCGGCGCTGTGCGGTCGCGAGTCCAGCAGGGCGCTGCTCACTTGCATGACCAGTTGTACGGGGCTCTCGTACTTGCTCATTACCTGTCTTCCGTATACCCTATTGCATTGCCTCCGAGTCGAGCGTGACATAGCCTTGGGATACGTGACCACCCCGTTTGACATCGACGCTATCGTATCCTCGGTGATCACTGCACGCGCTCTGTCGCAGACTCGGACGCCGACGCTATCTGCCCAGATCTGCCCTTCTTGCACGCGCTTGAAAGACCTCTCGCCCGGGACGCCCAACTGTGCAGATAACCAAGTCATGCGTGATGCGCACGTTGGCCAGGGGCGACAGGGTGAAATGCAGATGAAAGTCTGCGATGGGCGCGGATTCGTCACAAGAGGGAAGGTAACGTAGCGCATGCGAGCGATAGCCACATAGCATGCATGAATCCGACCTCAGCGAAGTCATACACCACCAAATGGTACCGGATGACATACCAGTAGTGCGTTCATGCAGTACATCGACTGGCCGTGAGTTGCCTCGCATGTCAGATCGACGAGGTGGGGCTGTACGTGTACATTCGCATGTCAATACTTATGTTAGGTGGGCCCATCAGGCATACGCGAACGTGACATACCTATGGCGGCCGGATCTGATCATACGTCGATGCAAGGCGACCGCTTCAGCCTCTCGGCCGTGGACCCGACAAATGCACGAAGGCGTTGTGCGAACAGGTCGGAAGTACGGTCGTAGGTGGGCGTATGCTGAGAGGTATGGCGCGGATTTTTGTTGTCGTGTCTGCGCAACCTCTTGGCTTTGTTACGATGAGGTATATCTCACTCACGCGATTGGCGACATTGTTGAGCTGCCGGCGTTCGCGAAACGTCAGCAACAATGCTGCACGGAGAAGAAAGGGCGAGAACTCACGAGATGAAGACTGCCACCTGCATGCTCTCAGAGTCTGTCGGCAGTGTGTACGAAGCGCAGAATGAACGAGCTCGCGAAGACGTTGAGCAGCCAGACATCGCATCAGCACTGATCCTATATACACAAGTCCATGTGTAGCGAAATGACTGACAGACAATGAGGAGTAGTAGGTCGAAGGATTGAAGTTGGTCTTCGGTGCCCGAAGTGCCACAGACTGGCAGGGCAAACAGCAGCGGCCGATCGTTGGGTTTGTGGCTAATAGCAGCTCAATCTATTAGGAGGGCGAAAGAAGGGACGAAGATCAAACAGGAGCAGAGGAGAAGTCACAGCTTGAGGCCGAGGACTCGTAACCGTGCTCGACACCACTTGATCTGGGGCTTGAGCTGTCGACGGCCTCTCGTGCTGACTGGCCCAAGAACGGCGAGAGGACTGTCCGCGCGCAATCCGATATCGTACAAGGACGAGAGTTTGCAGAGAGCAGGTCGTCCCACTGGCAATTCCACAAGTCGTCGCCGAAAGAGGTCGCTCGCCTTCTCCGACATTTATCCGACGCGCCACCACTCGACGCCACCGCCCTCGAGGCCAGTTCAAGCGAGCCCATGTCCCCAGCAGCCCTCGAGCCTGGCGACTATCAGTGTCTTCTCCCCTCATCAGCCTCCGTCCTCTACTTACCACCGTCGTCTTCCCTGCCGTCGCTATCAGCAAACCTCGACCCGCCATCCATCTTATGCGGCTCACACCGTTCGCGCTATCCCGTGAAGCATGATCACCCCGTACGTGTCCACTGTCACGCCGTCGACGGCTTACCTCGCCGATCCGCTCGACGCATACGCGCCCCTCAGCATGCCGAAGCCGTTCGTGCACTTGATCGGGCCACCTCTCGATGTCGCGCTGGATTCCCGTAGTTCAGGCAACCTCGGCCACCTCGTTCGCAGTAGGTGCCGCACAAACGCTATCCTCTGACACTGCTCCTCCGTCCCCGTCCCCGTGCTCGCCGTCCTTTCCCTCGACGACCTCTCCTGAACCCCGCAGCCATGGCATCCTCGATAGCCCGCCTTGACCGCATGCAATGCACATTCTCCCTCGCATCCTCCTTCGCCGCGTCCTCGTCCAGCGCGGCCATGATCTTCCTCCCCACCCACCGCCATGCCACGATGTCCTCCCTCTCTTGCAACGACCCGCCGACCACAAGATTCGCGCGACCACAAGATCCCTACCGTTCAAGCCACTGAGAACACCCTCGTGGGCATTCTCTTCCAGAAGGCGAAGGCGAAAGAGCCGTCGCCGAACTCGTTCTCCCCCGATGCAGCGTTGCTGCAAGTAGCAGCGCGCCCGCCGCCCGCTCCGAAGGCCGAGCGGCGCAAGCCTACGGTCAAGCCGACCAAGGCTGCCATCACAGTCGTGTGCAGTTTGAACCCGCTTCACTCACGACCTGTACGTTGACAGACCAATGGCGTGCGGTGCGTCTGAGAAACGCTCAGGTGCGTTAGTCCCCGTGCTCCTACCTGCAATCGTGCTCACCTGTCGAGGTATGCGCAGCGCGATGTTCGCGATCAAGAACTCGAACATCGAGGACATGTGTGGGTGCGGAGAGTCGTTCAGTGTCGGCTCGTGAGCTGCCCGCGCTGAGCCTGAGGTGTACGGATGATGCCTGCGCGCACCGTACGTTTTGCTGTACTGCTGTGTGCTTACGGTGCCTCCACGTCTCACGTCTCGGCACCCGGAGGTCATGCCAACATTCTCGCTCGACCCTCGACGTTCGTCGACGTCATCTTCGGTGAACTCATTTGCGCTGACTGTGTACTCATCTCCCTATAACTCACGCGCTCAAGCTTAGTTCAGTACGGTCCCATTATCGACGAAAACTTGATACGTAGAACAATCGAATGTCTGTCTTGAGCACACAACACTGGCTGTCTAGTTCTTGAATTCGCAAGAAATGATCATGTATGATACAAGCATTAGTGGGCGCGAATTCTTTCTCCGACAATAGCAACATATTGAGCTGCGTTGCGGTCGCGGGGCCATTCTATACGTTAAGACCGTACAACAAATGAGCAGAGCGGCCTAATGATAATTGTCCTATACTCACGAACTCGTTGGGACAATACGAGCCAGGATGCAGGGTTGCAAGGATGTCAGTCCATGCCTTGAGGACCCTCGGCCTGGGGTTGCACCTCCTCTCCGGCGGTGTTCGTCTGTTCAGCTTGCTTACTCTGATAATGTATTTTATCCATGTCCCCCCTCCAGCTGCCGAAGTCTGGGTAACTATGCACAGTACTCCAAGAGACACTCAGCTTTCCTGCGTGATTTGACCAACTCCATAGTAAGGCTACGTACCTCAATATACCTCGTCTATGCGAGTGTGGCATCTTCCGCCTGACGAGCTCGCCCAACCGATTGTACTGTTCTTGTAATCCTGCACCCAACCCAATAAGCTCATTGCCAGACCACAAGATCCTTCGATCCACAAAGCCTATACAGACGCCGCGCGACGCAACAGTATCAGAGAAGCGCTTCTCCTGCAGTATACTGTCCAATCGCGCCAGGGTATCATCCTGCTCCATTGTCGTCAGTAGTCCATCCAGGTCTTCGGCCATGTGGTCCATCCGAAGAACCGTAATAACAGCCATAGCTTGGAAGTGTTTCGAGACGATGCGAGACAGGATGTACGGGATCCAGGTCCATGCTGCGAACTTGAAGGCGTGGTACAGGGTGATCTCCAACTTCCACAGGTGGTCATGGTGTGAAAGGTTGTAATGTCGCTCTATAGGCATGAAACAATCAGCGAAGTGGCTCAAGAGATAAGTAGGAAAACCTGCCGACTGTGGCATCAATTGCATCATCACGAACAGGAGAACTGAGGGCAATATGGAGCTGAACTAATTCTGCAGACGTGGAACTCGCATCCAGCATAGTCTGGCTTCTGCTGGCTGCCGAGGATGCATTCACCTCGTTGGGCACCCCAAGTTCGAGAATGCGCACTCGAGAAGCCCGGCTGATGTGCACAAAGACGTCTTCGACTACTGGTGCAACCCATCGCACGTCGAGATGCTCCAGATTTGCACAGTTCAGGGGGAGAGAGGCCGGGGAGACGTGCTGTTTCTGCAAGCAATCAACACCGAAGCACCATACATATCTAAGCCGCGGGAGTGCTGAAACGAGGTGGGACAGCTGGGCGACGCTCGACAAGGTGACATGGGAGAGGTCTAGAGCGTCGATGTTGCTGAATACCCCTAGCAAGCCGATGTCTTCCATTCGGACCGAGCCGGTGGTCCACTCAGCATCTTCAATGGTGATCCTCGACAATCTCGGAACCTTGCCCGCGAGCATAGCAACAAACGTCCCCAGGTGTCGGAGCGGTTGACGTTTCTCGGGAGAAGCACCCGATATGACGACCTGCTGAATGACCTCACGGAGGCGAGGCTTTGCGCGGAGTGTCTTCGAGAGCGAGAGGACGTCCTTCCGGTCTCGTAGATGGATGTGTTGACGAAGATGGTACCACGTCAGGTAGTACCAGTCTTGGCATACGAGCGCGCAGGATGTGAGAGCGGTCAGATGTGGCTCGCCCTTTGCAATAAGATAATCCATATTCCATCCCGCAGCGATGTAGTCGATGATCCGTTCACAGACATCCACAGGAAGTCGCGGGATCGATGATCCGTGAGAGGTGCCCTCGGACGTCGATGCGGCTGTACTGTAATGCACATGTGTGAACCATGGTACCTGCGGCTGGACAGTGACACTTACATCACCTCGATTCTGGCCATTCCGTTGACGTGGGGTGTGCGCTATGGCGACGTGACCGCGCTGTCGCACAGATAAAAATCTCCCGCGCGTGCGCGGCGACAACCACGCAGACCCTCGACGATGGAAACTAATAGTCTCATCATATCAGACTGCGGCTCTTCAAGACAAAGAATAGCGCGATCTACCTGGTATCCGGTATTTACACTGGCTCAAGATGCGCTGTCTTGGTCGTCGGTTCGCGGTGCTCGCGCGAGTTGGTGGTCGCGACACTAAACGCAAACCACGATGTCAGCAAGGATATCGTTGGTGAAGCAGGGCTGTACCTTGTCGACACTTCCAATGGCCTGCGCGGCAAGAACTCACGCTTGAAGCTGGCAGAAGCGGAGAGCGTAGGGACAGCGAAGGTAACGATAAGCGGTATATATATGCATCGATACAACATAGCGCGCGTGCTCCGGCACATATAGAAGCTACGAACACAGACACACGATGCCGCAAGCGGTTCTTTGCTTCCGGTGAACGCCGCGAGATCGGAGCTGTTCGCATCCGATGCGAGGATAGCTCTCTATGGCCTGAAGCCTTTGCAAAACGATACACACGTCACTAACGTTCAGCGGCGATGCACGAGAAACGCATAGTACAGTACCAGAGGACTGCCCTCCTTGAATAAGATGCACCTCATTCTGGTGAGCGCGCGCGACGCATTCTGTCCAACCCTTGTTCAAAGAATGCTTAGTAGCGCGTGCGAGCGATGGCCACATAGCATGCATGAATCCGACCTCAGCAACGTCATACACCACTACACGGCACGGGAGGACAAACCAGTAGACCGTAGTGCGCTCAAGCAGTACATCAACTGACCGTGATTTGTCTCGCATACCAGATCAATGAGGTGGGGCTGTATGTCTGCATACGTCTGTCAGTACTCATGTTAGGTAAGCCACGGAAAAGTGACATACCTATGGGGGCTGGCTCTGATCATAGGTCGATGCAAGGCGACCGCGCTCAGCCTCTCGACCATGTACCCGGCGAATGCACGAAAGGTGGTGAGCGGAAGTACGGCCGTAGGTGGGCGTATGCTGAGAGGTATGGCACGGTTTTTTGTTGTCATATCCGCGCAACCTCTTGGCTTTCTTACGATGAGGCAAATCTCATGCACGCGATTAGCGACATCGTTGAGCTTCCGGCGTTCGCAAGACGTCCGGACTCTTCGACGAGCGAGATTCGGCGTGGGGAGGTGAGTCCGCAGGGCGCACCGCCGACCTCCAAGTGTCAAGACGACTAACATGCGCCTCCACGTCCGACTGGCGCTGGGAATGGGAATGACGCGCATGATCCGGGGACCGCAGCTTCCCATCGACTTCGACTTCCCCAGAGCTCGGGCTCGGCGAAACGCTGGTCTTCTCCTTCTGCGACAACGTCATATGCGCCGTCTGCTTCGCCACGGCCGCCGACAAGCTGCCGGAGCTCCCCGTGTGGCTCGACGGCGGGCTCGTCGACTGCGCCGACAGGTACGACGTCGACCGCGCCGTCGATTCTCCTGACAGGTCCGTTGAGCGCGTCGTGGGTCTCGAGGGGATCGGCGAGGAATCCGAGCTGCTGGATTGCCAGTCCTTACCGGCTATCGGCGGCGCGTCCCCACTCGTGCTCGTCGAGCTCGACGGCCACCTGTGCATCGCAGCGCGCCGCACCTCGTCCACGAGCTCCGGCGACGCGGGGACCACCGTACGAAGGACCTCCTTGCGCGGAGCACTCCTCCCCTTTCCAGCTGGCCCATCCTGCTTCCGCTCGCCGTCCACATCCATAGCCTCAGTGAAGCCAGCGACGCGTGCACCTCCTCCGCTCCAACAGTCACAGGCACCGTGAGCTCCGGCACCGTAGGCGACCTCGACGGCGCACGCGGCGGACTCCGCGCGCGCTCCCCGGACGACGGCGGGCTCGGGCTCGGATCGACGTCCATCCGATCCGGCGACGCGGGCACGGGCACCTGCACGTCCTCCCACCGCTTGCGCATCTCTCTCCGGATCCCATCCAGGACCGAGTCCACCGCGATGTACCCGCCCGTGCGCCCGACACCCGCAGAGCAGTGCAGCAACACCGGCGGGTTGCCGATCGCATGGCGCGCAACTCCCGTCGTGGGATCGACGTAGTTGCCATCCATAGGCACATCCTCCACGATCGTGCTGGGCACAGCCGGTTGTGCGTGCTCACTCGGAGGCGAAGACAACGGAACCGATACATGCGAAGGCCAGGGCCCCGGGTGCATCGGGCCCTCGCCCCAAGGCTTATCGCCACTTTGATGCGAGCGTGCAACGGCATCCTCCACTTCGCGAACGAGACCCAGGAGCCCGCGGGGGTCCTCAGGGACGTTGAAGTCCGGCCAGTCGAGGTACTGCAGCTGGGTGACGACACGCGGCTTCGCCTGCGGGTATCCGGTATGCGTAAGCTTGAACACCCTGTGCACGATCTCGCGCTCGCCGTCCGAGTCGCTGCCGTGCTTCTCTCGCCTCGGCTTGCGCGTGGGCTTCTGCGCGGGGGGGACGTGGGCCGAGAAGAACCCGCCATTCATCTCCTTCTCGCGGGGACGGCGTTCGCGCTCGGGAGTATCGTCGGTGGCGATCAGCTTGAGGCGGAGCGGGCCGTACTCGCCTTCCGCCCAGTACTTGCCGCACTTGACGGTGTTGCCCTCGACCTCGCGAGTGAGCATACCAATCACATGGACGTTCTGCTCCCAGCAAAGCCTGCAGAAACAAATCTTTAAGCACCCCGGCCTAACAGACACAAAAACACCGAACACTCACATCCAAAAAGTCCACATACGTTACGGCCAACGGGCCCTGCGTCGCGATACCGCTTCGTGGTGCCGAGCGGCTGCACGTAGCTCGCGTTCATTTAGTCGTCGTCGTCCAGACGCGCCTTGCGCAGCCGCACATGCGCGTGCTCCAACGACCAGATATTTCAATACCTGTCGTGGACTGAGGTAAGCACGCACGTCCGTAGCGCCACACCAGCGCAACCAAACATCGTGAGACACGCCCCACAACGCCGCGGCGCGAACCCATCGCCCGCCAGTCTACCCGCTAGCACGGCACAAAGACCCAACAACTGAGTCTTGGCTCGCCGAGTGGCTGATGCACGTACCAGTGCACCGCGCCCAAAAGAGCCGGGCCCCAACCCACAGCTCGGCGCACTTCCCCTCGCGGCCCGCCCAAAGCCTCAAGAGCACGCGCAAACCATCCGAAAGCAAGACAGCGCACCTGTTCTTGTTCCCCTTCAGAGCTCGTTGTCGCGCGCGCAGAGTCCGAGTGGACACGAGGTGGGCGTCGGGCAGACCTGAGAAGAGCGTGCACCTGGACGATCGGAAGCGCACGAGCGGCCGGATTTGCATCTGCATTAGCGCTCCGTGCAATCTGCGAGGGTTGGGGGGGAGAAGAGGGATTGCGCGTCAGGGCTTGGCCAGGCACGATTTCGAGAAAACAGCGCTTGATCGTGGTGCGAGTAGCGGGGACGCTCGAAAGGAAATTTATTTGTGCGACAGCAGTGCGGCGTCGCGCACAATACCAGTCAGAGGTGAAGCATCCTTGCGCGCCTGCTTGGGAATGGTGTCCGGCTCGCACTTCCGTCTGGAAGGGCCGCTAACTTCTCTGCGGTTGCGGCGTGGAGAAGTAGGGGAGGGCGCTGGGCGCGAGCGAGATCGACGTGCAGTTGGGGAGATGTGCGGCATGCGAGTTTGTCCATAATTGAAGACGCCGCCCTCGAAGACGAGCGTGCGCGAGCTTTCCGAGTGTTCGCGTTGATGCGCACGGCTCAATATTTCGAGCGAGATTGGCCACCGTGCGCCGCGCGCCCCCGCACATGGGCGATGGGTAGTTCGGCAGCGGTGACCGCAGAAGAGTTGCTCCGTGCGCCGGGAGCCCAGCGCGTTCCATCGCGCGTACCGAGGTTGAGTGCGTATGGAGATCGTTCGACATCGGCGGCCTGCGCATGATTGGGTTAGCTGGGTTCGAGTAGAAACCCGCATGTCTGGCACACACCTCCCCCACGCGCACGGTGACTCCTTGTGATGGGGCCCGCTGGTTGTCGGGGCAGGTGCGCTATCCAGCGCCCTGGCTAAGCGGCGGTGGCTCAATCGTAGACGGCGAGTGTCCCTGGGTTGGCAAACACGCGTCGAGGAAGGGGCCTTTGTGAACGTGCTGCGGGCTGGGTACCTGTCCGGGGAGTTCTTCCGCGTTTGCAGCAGGAGTTGTTCGAGCTCGTCTATGACGTGTAGCTTGGAAGTCTCCCGGCTGCTCGTGGACGGCTGTGGGCGGGACGTTGTGAGCTGGCTGAGGTGGATAGAAGCCGTTGGATGCGCGAGTGATAGGGGCAGCGCAACGGGGACAAGCTGTATGCGGTGTTCTCGGGGCTTCCACGCCCTGCTCAAGCCCCGCCTGCCCGCTGCGGAAGCAGCTAAGCTGTGGTAGGCCTTAGCGACACCTGCATAACAGTGTTCGGTGTGTCTACACGGAGCGACTCACTGATCAGCTGCTCGAGTCGGCGTGTCGATGTCTTGGTGAGAGTCTGCGAGAGTGGCCCGAGGATTCTAGCAGCGCTGGAATCTTGCTGACCAACGGTACATGGTGGCTTGCAGCGGCGAGGGCCTGATGGTGTTCGTGAGGACGTCGACAACCATGGTGTCCGGGCGAGTCCATTGCTGTCCGCCGATGCGATGTCGTGGTCGTGCCAGTGTACATACTCGGTGTGACAACGTGGCGCGCGGCGCAAGGGGACCCCGAGACTAGGGTTAGTGGTGAATCGCCGAGGCGGGATGTCATGTTACAGCCCCGATCACTACTCTATGGACACCAACGCGCGCGACGCTGGTACGTGAAGGACGGGCGCGACGGGCAGCGGACAGTGCACAGCCAGTGCAGCGTCGGGAAGTGTGCACGTGGAGGGGACAACCGCCAGACGAGTCGGACTCGGCGCCTACGGGCGTCATCGCAATTACGATTTCTCTCTCTTTCTTTTCGCTCGTCTCCCAACCTCACTGGGCGCGTTTATTAACAGAATCTTACGATATAACTCCACTACGATACTACCGACTCTATCATCGCGCTTGCGACGAACCAGACGGCTGCGACGCAGACCCGCAAGTAGGACGAGACGAAAGCCAGAACGACGAGTGCCACCGCACCTACCGGGGGCCCAGGTTGCGAATAGCAAGCAGCACCGCGTGCGTGCCGCAAACCTCGTACAGAAACAACGGTTCGTTGTCCAGCGCTGGAAGGGGAATCAACTGACGTCCGCCACCCAGAAGGGTGTTCTTATAGCTGCAGTACGATACTTTCCTTATTCGGTATCATCCCTTCCCGATCTGTCAACGCATCGCACTTCTTTCGAACCATCTCCCACTCGCCGACGTCTCTCTCGCTCTCCAGCTTCGTCTATTTGTCTCTGCCTCTCGCTTTCATGGCTCGTGTCTCTTTGTATGTATCAGTACTGGGCTGCGTCGCCCCGATCCCTGCCGAATCCTTCCCCAGTTCTCTCATCTCGCAGTTCCGACTCCGGCACATTTGCGCGACGAGACAGTCGCGTGTGCAACACTAGTCGAGTAGCAATTCGAGCAGAACGAGTCGCGTTTCGATATCGGTAAGTGTTCCTCCAGTCTCGGCGGTCTAACTACTCGTTACAGACCACCGTCGTCCTTCACCGAGCCCTACGTCCATCTCGACTACTTGACCTCCCTACATCGGGACGAGCGCGTGTGCTTTGTTGCCGTTGTCGTCGCCACGCACGCATTCTCTCCAACAGCAGGGACACGCGAGTGCATACCACCCAGGACATCATCCCTCACGACGAGACGGGCGACAACCTACGCTCAGACTCGGTGGCGGGGAGTCTCCGCCCTCAAGCCCAAATTACTGTAACTGTGAGCCCACGTCGCCACCAACCCTCAAGCCTGGCGACTGTGAGTCTGCTCTCCTCATCAACATCCGCTCTCTACCACCGTCGTCTTTCTTGCGGTCGTTGTCAGTAAATCTCGTCCCCTCTGTCCGTCCTCCATCGCATGCGGCTCACACCGTTCGCGCTATCCCGTCGTCAAGCATGAGCACCCCGTATGTGTCCACTATCACGCCGTCGAAGGCCTACCTCGCCCATCCGCTCAACGCATACGCGCACCTCAGCATTCCGAAGCCGTTCGTGCACTTGGCTAGGCCACCTCTCGACGTCGCGCTCGGTTCCCGTACTTCAGGCAACATCGGCCGCCTCGTTTGCAGTAGGTACCGCACAAACGCGATCCTCTGACACCACTCTTCCGTCCCCGTCCCCATGCTCGCCGTCTTCTCCCTCGACGACCTCTCTCCCGAACCCCGCAGCCATGGCGTCCGCAGTTGCCCGCCTCCGCCGCACGCAAACACTCTCCCTCGCGTCCTCCTTCGTCGCGTCCTCGTCCAGCCGCGCCATGATCTTCCTCCCCACCCGCCGCCATGCCATGATCTCCACCCGCTCGCGACGACCCGCCGACTACAACATCCACCGACCGCAACATCCACCGACCGCAACATCCGTCCAAGCCGCTGGGACAGACACCCCCTGATGTCATTCCCTTCTAGAGGGACAAGGCGGAACAGTCGTCGACAACCCCGCTCTCCCCCGACGCGGCGTCGCCGCAAGTAGCAGCGCGCCCGCGGCCCGCTCCGAAGGCCGAACGGCGCAAGCCCTTGGTCAAGCCGACCAAAGCTGCCATCACGGTCGTGCGTATCTCAGGACCGCTCTACTCAGAATCTGCACGCTGAGAGACGGGGTGCGGTGCAGGCACCCAGCGCTTTGCAGGGACTCCGCGCACTGCTCAAGGGGCCCACGCCCCAGCTCATACGGATAGACGTGCGGAACAAGGGCTGCGCAGGGCTCTCGTACCACCACGAATACGTCGATGAGCCGGGCAAGTCCGACGAGGTGGTCGAGCAGGACGGCGTGAAGGTCCTCATCGACAGCAAGGCGTTCTTCTCCATCATCGGCAGCGAGATGGACTGGTACGTGAACGCGCTCAGGTGTGTTATCTTACCGTGTTCCCGCCTCCGATCGTGCTCACCTAGCTCGGTATGCGCAGCGCGAAGTTCGTGTTTAAGAACCCGAACAACAAGGTGCGGAGAGTCGTTCAGCGTCGGCTCGTGAGCCCCGCGTGCTGAGCCTGAGGTATACGCTTAGAGGCTACCGCGTTCTCTATATCACCCCGGGTGATGCCTGTGCGTACGAGCTAATCCTCCTGCTTCACCACATCTGTATCCATACTATACATCGCTACCCGGTAATACACTAGACGGAACTCGGGCCGTACGCTTCACCATCTCATAAAGCACAATGACACTGTAGGTTTGCACGCAAGTAGCGAGTCTGCCACGACGATGTTCCGTTATGCAGTACCTGTGCTTACTGTTGTGTGCTCGCAAGACCTCCATGTTGCGCGTCGAGGCACCAGGAGGTCGTATGACGATAGTCCCGCTCGACCCTCAACGTTCACCGACGTCATCTGGCGGTGGAAGACTTCGGTGAACTCGGTTGTGCTCCCCGTGTTGTGCTCTCCCTGTGGCTCACGCGCTCAAGCCTAAGCGTAGTTAAACAAGTACGACCGTAGAATTGACGAAAATTTGAAATCTAGAACAATCGAATGTCTGTCTCGAGGACACAACCGTACCGCCGTCCGTCCAATTCTTCAATACCCGAGAAATGATCATATGCGATACAAGCATAAGTGAATGGGCGCGAATTCTTTCTCCGACCCTAGCGACATATCGACCCACGTTGCGGCCGCGGGGCCATTCTGTACGTTGGGACCGCGCAACAAATTAGCAGAAAGGCCTCACGATGATGGTCCTATACTCACGAACTCCATGCGACGATACGAACCAGGATGCAGGGTTGCAGGGATGTCAATACGTGTTGCGTCGAAGACCCTTGGGCCGGGGGTGCGCATCCTCTCCGGCGGGTTTCTTCTGTTCAACTTGCATACGGCGACGATGTATCTCTTCCATGTCATCCCTCCAGCTGTAGAATTCTTGGAAGTTAGGCACAGTGCTTCAAGTGACACTCAGCTTTCCGTCGCAATTTGACCAACTCCACATTACTACGTACCTCAAAATACCTCGTCCATGCGAGTGTGGCATCTTCCGCCTGACGAGCTCGTCCAACCGATCGTACCGCTCTCGTAGTGCTGAACCCATCCCAGTATTGCCAGACGCCCAATAGGCTCCATAATCGCCAAGGCCTATACAGAAGCCACGCGACGCAACAGTATTGGAGAAGCGCTTCTCCTGCAGTATACTGTCCAATCGCGCCAGGACATCATCCTGCTCCACTGTCGTCAGCAGTCCGTCCAGGTCTTCGGCGTTGTGGTCTGTCCGAAGCCGTAACGTAACAGCCATAGCTTGGAAGTGTTTCGAGACGATGCGAGACAGAATGTGCGGGATCCAGGGCCATGCTGCAAAGGGGTGGTACAGGGAGATCTCCAACCTCCACAGGTGGTCGTGGTGTGAAAGGTTGCAATGTCGCTCTGTAGGCATGAAACAATCAGCGAAGTAGGTCGAGAGATAACTAGGAACACCTGCCGACTGTGGCATCAATTGCATCATCACGAATAGGAGAACGGTGATTAATATAGAGCACAACCGTTGCTGCAGATGTGGAACTCGCATCCAGCAAAGTCTGGCTTCTGCTGGCTGCCGAGGATGGATCCAACTCGCCGTCCACCCCAAGAGCGAGATAGCGCACTCGAGAAGCCCGGCTGATCTGCACGAAGAGGTCTTCGACTGCTGGTGCAACCCATCGCACTTCGAGAACCTCCAGATTTGCAGAGTTCAGTGGAAGAGAGGCCGGGGAGACGTGCTGTTTCTGCAAGCAGTCAACATTGAGGCACAATAATATCCTAAGCCGCGGGAGTGCTGAAACGAGGTGGGACAGCTGGGCGACGCTCGACAAGGTGACATTGGAGAGGTCTAGAGTGCTGATGTAGCTGAACACCCCTAGGAAGCCGATGTCCTCCATTCGGACTGAGCCGATGGTCCACTCAGCATCTTCAATGGTGATCACCCGCAACCTCGGAGCCTTGCCCGCGAGCATAACGGCAAACGTCCCCAGGTGCCGGATCGGTTGACGCTCCCCGGGAGAAGCACCCGATATGACGACCTGCTGAATGACCTCACGGAGGCGAGGTTTTGCGCGGAGTGTCTTGGAGAGCGAGAGGACGTCCGTCCGATCTCGTAGATGGACGCGTCGACGAAGGTGGTACCACGTCAGGAAGTACCAGTCTTGGCATACGAGGGCGCAGGATGTGAGAGCGGTCAGATGTGGCTCGCCCTTTGCAACAACGTAACCCGTATCCCATCCCGCAGCTAGGTAGTCTATGATCCGTTCGCAGACCTCCACAGGGAGCCGCGAGATCGCAGGTCCGTGAGAAGAGCCCTCGGACGTCGATGCAGCTGTAGTACTATAATCCACATGTGTAAACCAAAGTACATGCGTCTGGACAGTGGCACTTACATTGACTCTGCTCTATCCATTCCGTTGACGTGGGATGTGCGCTACGGCGACGTGACCGCGCTGTCGCACAGATGAGAATCTCCTGCCCGTGCGCGGCGACAGCAGACTCGCGACGGTGGAAACACGTTACTAATAGCCTCATCATCTCAGACTGCGGCTCTCCCAGAACAAGCATAGTGCGATAGCACACTACCTGATATCCGGTATGTAGACTGGCTCCCAGACAACCCAGATGCGCCGTCTTGGTCGTAGGTTCGCGCGGTGCTAGCGCTCGTTGGTGGTCGCGACGCTAAAAGGAAAGCACGGGGTCAGTAAAGATATTCGTTCACGAAAGCGGAGCCGTGCCTCGTGAGGACGTTTGGTGTGCGCTGCAAAAAACCGAGGCTGGACGAGGCGGAGAGCGCAGGGAGAGCGAACGCAAAGATAGGCGGTACATATATGCATCGATACAACGTAGCGCGCGCTCGCCGGCGGGTATAGAAGCGTCGAACACGGACACACGACGTCGCAAGTGGTTCTTTGCTTCGAGTAAGTAGGCGCGGTGAGATCCAGACTGTCCGCAGTCATTGCGAGGATAGCCCTCTACGGCCTGGAGATTCTGCAAAGCAGTACTCATGTCACTAATTTCATCCAGCGGCGATGCACGATGAATACATACAGAGGACCGCTCTCCTTGAATACAGTGCCGCACTTCGTTCCAGTGAGCGCGCGGCGCGAGGCAGGCTGTCCGAACCTTGAGCTTCTTCAATGGGTGCCTATCGATAATCAAGGTGGACCACATATACGTAGGCTGGTGACCGCCGTATGCATGCTGAGGGATAAGGCCGCCTCAAGTACACCGGTTACTTGCCGCCGCCGGCGGTACGCATCGCGTTGACCTGGACATTTGACAATCATACAACGATAGCTGGCGACCGGAAAGCTCTCCAGCGCTCGCGGTTACCGTCGACGTGCACTGGCAGAGCTGAGAGCAGCGTGCGGCCTTTAAGTTACACAGTGCTGGCTCCCGAATTTGAGGTCCTGTCAGGGCCGGCCCGGACGTGCACTGTTTGAATTTGCGCTCAGGCTCGCAAAGTCACTGACGTTCGGCGGAACACAGTCGACTTACAGCACGCTCCACACACCCACATCCACAAAGAGAATGTCACGATGCAATTGAATGGGAGTACTATAAGACTACACGACGATCTACAGGATACAGTAGTACATATGTATGTGCGCGATGGGTAAGTAAGCAGAACAGCGGGTGTGGGTAGATGAGTGGGTTGTGTATCATATGTATACAGCTGCCAGAACATGAATCAGGACCAGCGACAGCAACGAGGAACGGTGCGCATTATCCAGTCGGAACGAGCAGAGAGAAACGCAGACAGGTCCCAGGAAACAGGCTCGATGACGGAATGGAATGATAGGCTCAGAGAAACAGTACGCGCGCATGACAGCAATCCACAGCGTGACGTCCAGGGCGCCGGTCAACGGTGGGGGGACGTAAGGGAGGGGGCAGGTGGCCTGATTGAATGCGGGATCCAGCGACAGCAATGACCGAAACAAGGTGCGAGGGTGAAGGTCCGAGAGGGAAGCACGCGAGGGTAATGCCCCCGGGGGGCGAGTCGACATGAGGCACAAAGCCTCCTCAGGCTCAGACGGTGTCCATGCGCGACGTACGCTTAATGCTCGGTCGTTTCGTCAACATCGCCTCGCCCTGCACGCCCTCCTTGGGCAGCTCCGTCGGGCTCGCGCCCCGCTTCGTCCCGCCCGGCGACATCGACAGATGCCCGTCGATCGCAGCGTCCTCTCGCATGTAGTCTGAGATGCTGCGTTTCCGCGACACGCCCCGCTCTCGCAGCGACGCACCCGAGCCCACGGAAGACACGGTCTCCGGTGAGTGCATGGGCCCGTCCATGAAGACGTCTTGACGGTCTGCGAGCAGCGCACCCCTGGCGTTTCGAGAACCCTCCAGCGACAAGCGACCCAGCTCCTCCGCCTTCCTCTCCTCGTCCACGATCATCAGCGTCCCCTCAATCACAGCGCGATACACGAACACGTATTGCCGCAAGCTCTGGCACAGGCTCATCCGCTGCTCGCGCATGTCCTCGATCACCCGGCGGATAGGCTCGTCGTACGTCGAGAGCAGCGGCGGGGACATGTCGGTGTGCAGGCGACGCGGCTGGGTATAGTCGAAGATGCGCCCGCGCTGGTACTGCGAGCCCTTGCCATGGACAGTGCTCTCCTCGTCCGCCAGCCCTCCCGCAGGTGCAGTCGTGTCCGGGCTCTTCGACGAGCGAAATTCGGGGTGGGGAGGTGAGTCCGCAGGGCGCACCGCCGACCTCCAGGTGTCAAGACGACTAACGTGCGCCTCCACGTCCGACTGGCGCTGGGAACGACGCGCATGATCCGGGGCCCGTCCAAAGAAGGCTCACCGACAACCACATAGCTTTGAACGTGGGATCGAGGCTGCGCAGGGTTCTGAACAGAGGAAAGCGAACGCGGGGCCAATGTCGCAATCCAATCCAGTACCAGCGAAGAGCGCTGGGCAGGATCTGTATGTAGCTTCAGTTCTTTCGATGGCCGGGATGAGTGATACCTCGGCTCTGTGCGGTCGCGAGTCCAGAATGGCACTGCTCTTGCATGACCAGTCGTATGCGGGCCCTCGTACCTGCCCAACATTACCTGTGTTCCGTATGCCCTACCGCATCCGCTCGGGCATCAACATGGTCGTGGAACACGCGACCACCCCGCTTGACATCGATGCTGTCGTGTCCTTGGTGTGATCAATGTCCGTCTTGCGCACGCTTCAATGACCTCTTCTGCGTGTCCAACTGCATATCCAACAAAGTCATGCGTGATACGCACGTTGGTCAGGGACGACACTAAAAGGAATATCTACGTACATTTCAAGGGTGAAGGCGATGTAGCACAGGCGCACAATGGCCACATGACATCTCCATGACTGCGAAGACGACCTCAGCAATGCCATATACGCTCAGCGGGACTGGACAGCATACCTGTAATCCGCTTATCCGATACATCGACTGACCTTGATTTGACACCGCCGATGTCAGGTACATAGGTAGGGTGGACGAAGGGCTAAATGCGCATATGCGTGTATGTCAGACAGGCCTGTCGGACGCGAACGTGACATACCTAGAGCGGCTGGATGACACGTCGAACGCAGGCACGGCCGCAATCAATCTTCGGCCGGACCAATGTGCGAAGGCGTTGTGCGGACAGGGCGGAAGTACGGCCAGGCGTGCGTCTGCGCAACGTTGTGGCTTTCTAACGATGGTCTGTGTGATGGACGCGATTAACGAGAGTGTTCAGCTGCCAGTGTTCACAAAACGTCAGCAGCGATACTGCGCGGATAAAGGGCGAGAACTCACGGGATGAAGACAGCCTGCATGCTGTCAGAGTTTGTCGTCCGGGTATACGAAGCGCAAAATGAACCCGCAAAGGCGGTGAGCTGCCAGATATCGCACCAGCATTGATACTAGTACAGGTCCATCTGTAGGAAAACGGCTTAGAGACAATAGGTACAGGTCAAAGACGTTCCAGTCCAGACGTACGCGGTGACATACCGACACCTTAGGAAGAGGCGGTCTGATCTTCGGGTGGACGAAGCGCCGCACAGTCGGAGAGCAAGCAACAGCCGAACACTGGCTTCGCCTGACGGCCGATAAGTAGCAGCTCATCGAAGGAGAGCGGAGGAAACGACGATGATTAAACAAGGTGGAGGAAAGGTCGCAGTGAGGCCGAGTACAACTTGATCGCGAGCACGGGATGTCGACGGCCTGTCGTGCTGGCCGGGCCAAGAACGGCGAGCGGACTGTCCGCGCGCAATCCGATGCACAGGGACACCGTCTCAGCGTACGCAGAGAGCAGGTCGTCCCAGTCGCAGACGTCGCCGCCGAAAGACTCAAAGAGAGAGCACTCGCCGCTCCTGCCAGTCACCGGCCCTATCGATCCGCCTACGGTTGCCCGATAGTCCGAGGCCGGGCATTTTGCACGACGCGCCTCTGCCACATCGCGTCGCTCGTCCTCCGCCCCCTCTATATCCTCCGGAACTCATACAACACTCACGCTACCACCCCCAAAGCATTCCTACTGCGCCGAAAGCACTGCGAACGCCAAAAAAGCGGCACTGGCAAGTCCATACTGGCCTGAAAATTCGAAAAAGCTCGACGACCCCGGGGAAGTGGTAAGCGCCCGACGGCGTCGCGACTCCCTCGAACTTGGATGCACAAGTCTGGAGGTTACCTAGGCCCCCGGCAACTACCCTAGATGTTTGTCCGGGTATAGGGTGAAGGAGGGGTCCCGGAGGGGCCCGAGCTCTGTCCCCGACTCCGACCGGAGGGAGAGAGGAGGGCTTTGTCGACCATAAGTCGTTCGCAGCCGGCGATGCCGCTCCCTCCGTGGGAAACACGTGACTTATAATTCCCATAAGCGGCATCGCAGCAATGCTCGAGTGTCTTACGAGGCAGCTCGAGGCAGTTGGATCCTTCCGTGCATCTGGCTGTGTCTGGATGCCTGGATCTTTGACCATCGAATAACTCCTCCCAAAGGCAGGAGGGCCTCTATTATGTTGAGAGCCCTCGCATGCACTGTGGTATGTATTACGGTAAGTAAGTTCGCTGTGTGGCTCAGACTCGTGGAAGCCCGAGACGCCCGGGCGGCGAAGCCGCCGCGGGCGTGAGGGCTTCCAATTGAGTCTCCATACCATTCCGATGGTACAATATTACAATACAGTAATGTACTGGTCCTTGAAACACTACGGGTCCTTGAAACAAATCGACTTCACTCATTTTCACTGAACCTCTGAGGCCCCAAAAATCATGATAAATAGAATGACACTTTATTACATCTCCTAGATATTCAGTTCAATGGTACGAGCACAGAAGCCCATACAGTGTGTCGAGAAACCCGAAACTCGTGTTTCACGACATTCTGTTGCCCGATATGGTAAGCGGCGCTTATATCAACCAGACGTTGTACGAAATCCCTTGCACTGGCGATTGTGAGCTATCACCAGGAAGTTCAGAGCAATCACTATACATTCCTTCGTCTTCACTGGCCCG